TGACAAGGACGACGAAGAAGAAGACGACGACGACGACGACGACGACGACGACGACGACGACGGCGGCGGCGACGACGACGACGACGACGACGTCTGAGAGGGGGAACAAATTCGCCTTGGTCTTGTACGACTCCTAAACAACGTCGATACAAAAGGCAATCGTCTTGATGCTGTCATGCAAGGGGTACGCGATCCCCTCGGTGGTGTCAGCAGCGACCCCCTGGTGCGCGTGGTACAAAAAATGTTTCGCGCCCCGCGGGGTCTATTCATCAGCCCCGGGGGGGTCACTTGTTAATCACAAGCTGACGTTGCAACACGAGTGGTTTACCACCCCTAGTGGCAACGAGCAGCAAGCGCGGGCCTGCGGACCCCATCCACGGAGATACAAAGCGTGCTCGTGGAGACGACGGGCCCTAATCTTCAAGACGGACGACTCCTAGTACAACTACGTATGTTTTCCAACCCGAAAGCTGCTACCTCGCCTACTGCGTTACCCACAAGAAACGTCATGAACATCGCTATAGGCAAAGAGCCATGTCATCCGTACCCGCTTCAACATCCCTTGAATGGCCCCGCAGCTCAAACCCATCCCTTTCCGCCTATCCCCCTCGATTCAGGTTCTGGTAAGTTGTATGGTACCTTCCTCCCTCCGTCCCCCTCTCAAGGAAACCATCCAAGGCGGCGTCCGAGGATGCCAGGTGCGCGTCTCCCGCGCGTGCGTCCGCGCGCGCGCAGCGCAGCGCGGTCCTTGAGAGGAATCGCTGTGGAGCGCTGCGCAGCAGCAAGAGGAGACAGGCTCTGGACTCTGGGCTCTGCGCTTGGGGGGCCGCAGGGAGCCCCCTGGACAGCGAGAGGAGGCCCCTGCGGGATGCGCACATCGTTGCGCGCCTGCGGCGCTGGGACGCCGGGAGAGGTGGCCACGTCAGCGCGGATTTTTTGGTGGCCCGCGACAGACAGACCATCCACCACTGATAAATGCAGTGGTGCACCGTGGGCCGTGGTCTGGCCGTGATCACTGCGACCACGGTCCGCGTTCGACTGTGAGGCCGTCACGCTTGGGGTGACGCCCACAGAATATACGAGTCCGAGCGGGCTTGGCCCCCGCAATCTGCGGGCCAGTCTAGCACGGCTCCGCTAGGTTCCTGGCCCGAACTTTCCAAATGCTCCGGGCAAGTCAAACTATCCCCACCCAGCCGGGGCACACTAAAGACCCCCAAGAATCCCCTCTGAGGCTCCCAATGCGCTCCCAAAGGGCTCTAAGAGACCACAGAAGTACCTCGAACGGGCCTCCCAAGACACCCAGCTCGCGACCTTCCTGAGGCCTTCTTCAAAACCCCCCTTCAAGATCCGCGGAACCGGCCGTAAGGCCTCTCCAATAAAACCGTCCCCACCCCCCTCCCGTGAACCTCGGCCCCATTAGCCGACCCAAGTACCCCCCCCCCCTAGCCTCACAGGTGGGGATGGGTGCCGTCTCCGAGGCTTCGGGCTGGGTGAGGGCGGGGATGGATCTGACGATGATGACCGGCAACGTCAGAAGAATGACACTCGCCATCGCTCGGACGTCCATTCCCTCTGTGTTTTTGTTTTCGGTTTCGTGCGTAGCTTTTTCGCCAAATGATCAGGGATGCTTCTCCATGGCCCTCGCCGACGGAAAAATGCACACGTCCGAGCGATGCCAAGGACACAATGCACAAGCACAAACTTCCAGAGGTCCGCGCGGACTCCTGGAGCGCACGCGGAGAGTGCGCCGGGGGGCGGCGCGCCGACACGGGGGCCCGGCGCCGAGCAAAGAGACACCCGCGCAGACCCCCGAGAGTGGATGCGGGCGCCGTTGCTTTTTTTTCTCGACGCGTGGAGGCTCGGGTGCGCCCAGGAGGGGGCCAGCGAAGAGGGGGGGATGCGCACCATTTGAAGGGGCCCTGGGACACACAAATAAATGCACACAAAGAAAAGAATCCCCTATACTTTTCCATAGTTTCTTGATTTTTGTCTCCCCCCCCACTTCCCATATTTTCCCATATTTTCCGGGGGATCGACGATTAATTGTGTCTGTGTGTTTTTTCCCCTCCTGAATCATAGTCCGAGGCAGGTGCGCGCGCGGACGAGCGCAGACCAGCGGACGTGCTGAAAGAGCTGGAGGAGGAGGACAAAAAGAACCCGTGGTCATGAAATCTGGGAGATGCCATGGCCCTAACCATGACATATCCTCTTCCTGGCCCTCGGCCCCCTCTTGGACCCCGAGGGACGCGGCGTTGCTTCCGACAGTGCTCCCCGCCCCCAGTAGGAGGCTGGAAACACACATGGCTGGATTCAAATGCGGAGCCCACTCGCTGGACACGCACGCCGAAACCTAGCGTGCCTGGCCGTGTACACATGTGAAAGAGCGTGTTCTACCGCTGCTGGCGGAAAACCGGGGGGGGCACTACCGGTTCGAACCCCTCCCCCCCCCCTCCAGAAAACCGCGGGGGGTCACTACCGGTTCGAACCCCTCCCCCCCCCCCAGTCCATTACGAAAAGGGGGGGGGGGGGGGGGTCACTACCGGTTCGAACCCCCCCCCTTCCCCCCCCCCCCTCCCCCTTCGAAAACCGGGGGGGATCACTACCGGTTCGAACCCCTCCACCCCCCCCTCTCGAAAACCGGGGGGGGGGGAGTGCGGACAGTGGTGGGGACGGTGGTGGTGGGGACAGTGGTGAGGGGACAGCGGGACAGTGGTGGGGACAGTGGGACAGTGGTGGGGACGGTAGTGGTGGGGACAGTGGTGAGGACAATGGCAGTGGGACAATGGTGGGGACGGTGGTGGGGACAGTGGTGTGGGGACAGTGGGAATGTGGTGGAAACAGTGGGACAGTGGAGGGTACTGTGGTGTTGTGGGGACAGTGGTGAAGGCGGTGGCGAGGACGGCGGTGGGACACTGGGACAGAGGTACAGTGGGGACAGTGGTGGGTAGAGTGGGGACAGTGGTGGGATCAGTGGGACAGCTCAGTGGGACAGCGGAGGAGTCAGTGGGACAATGGGGACAGTGGGGATAGTCGGGCAGTCGTTGGGGCCGTGGGGAAAGTGGGCAGAGTGGAACCGTGGTGGGAACAGTGGTGGGGACAGTGGGGACAGTGCGACAGTGGTGGGGGCACTGGTGGGGACAGTAGGGAAGGTGGTGGAACCAGTGGGGACAGTGGTGGTGAGGACAGTGGCGCTGGGAACAACAGTGGGGGATGTGGTGCAGACGGTGGTAGGGCCTGGGAGTCGTTTGCTGGCGGTGAGGGGTGTGTAGGGAGGGGTTCGAACCGGTAGTGACCCCCCCTCCGGTTTTCGAGGCGGGGAGGAGGGGCCCCGGGGGGGGTTCGAACCGATTGACCGCCCCCGGTTTTCTAGGAGGGGGTCAGGGGAGGGGGGGGGTTTTGCCGGGGGAGGGAGGGAGGGGGGGGGGTCCAGCAGGGGGGGGGGGTTTTCGGAGGGGGGGGGGGGGGGCCCGGGTTCCGGAGGAAGAAGGGTGGCAATTTTGCACAGTAAAGCTGCGGTGGATCACGCTCTCTCACACATGTGTATCCACCTCTCGCCCGAGCCAGCCGCGTCATGTGTATCCAACTTCCTGATAGGACGGGTCTCGAAAACCCAGAGCCCGAGCATGTTGCCATCCGAGGGGGCGCATCTTGTGCTTCCGCTGGCCGCCCGCCAGCGGAAATCAAAGTGAGGGGGCCGAACGGTAATTCACTGTCCCTGGGCACGTGTCTGAAATGAGGTTCTGCGGTGCGGATTGTTGTTGTTGCATTTGTTGTGTTTATGGTTGTTGATGCTGTTTTTTGTGGTTGTTGTTGCTGATGTATGTTATTTGTTGTTTGTCGTTCGTCGATTGTTGTGTATTGTCTGTTGTTTGTGGCTGTTTGTTGTCGCCGTCCCCCCTGCGACCCATCTTGCGACCCAGCCGCAACCCTTCCACGACCCAGCCCGCGACCCACCCGCGACCCACCCGCGACCCTGCCCGCGACTCACCCGCGACCACGCCCGCAACCCAACCGCGACCCTGCCTGCGACCCACCCGCGACCCAGCCGCGACCCACCCCGCGAACCACCCTCATTGCTTGAACGCAAAAATCGGCGCTTTGCAGCGAGCTCGCTGTATAATTTGTAAAAAATGGGCGCCTGCGGCGGACTTCTTCCGAGCCTCGCAGACTGCCAACGTTCGGGGAGACATAAGACTCGGGTACGGGGGACGCGGGTTGGCCTGACGGGGTCCATCATACAAATGACGAGACGCAATCTGAAATTTGACGCGAGCTCCCACTGCAAACATCCCACGAAAACTGGACCGTCAAAATCCAGGACGCGCTCGTCAAAAAACGTCGGCAAACCCGAGTTCCGGCTTACCCGAGTCTTACGTTCCCCCGAAACGTCCCCGCCGCCCGCTCGCTCTTACCCGCGACTGCGGGGTGCTGCGGTTCATAGCCTCGCTTTCCTTCCGCCGCCCTCCGCGAACCCTTCCGCCGCCCTCTGCCGAGGACGACACGCCCACTCCCCGATCCCTCGGAGACGAGGCCCCGTCTGGAACGTCTCGTGTGCCCCCCCCCCGCGCGCCCCATGCGACAACGAGGGGCCCTCCCCTTTGGGCACCCGAAATGGGTACCGAAAGAATGGGCACAATGCCCAACAACAACCGTTGTCCCAAACCAACAGCGGCCGCTGCTGGGCAGGCGGCCTTCTGTCTCGAATGGACACAGGCCGCGGCGGCGCGGACAGCGAGTCCTGTGCAAAATGAGCAGGGACTGCTGTTGGGCATTGTACCCATTCTTTCCGTACGCATTTCGGGCGTCCAAATCCCCCGTTTAGCAAAACCTGGTTTAGTGAGAACGACCTAAGGCCCAAACCTGGCGGGCACAAGCCTGGAAAACAACGGCCACGGCGCCCTCTCGAAAACCGAAAACGGACAATTCACTAATCGACGTGTCACTGTTGGGGGTTCTGTCCGCCCCCGACCATTTCGGGCGTCCAAATCCCCCCCCCCCGCCGGGCACATCCGCGGCCGCTCCGCGTAGGCCGACAAGATGCGGGCGCAGCGGGGCCCGTGACGCCCGGGCTGGAAGCTGCACGCCTGGCGGCGGGGCCGGCGTCCGGGCTCGAGGGTCGAAGAGCCCCGGGCCTCTGGGCCAAGGCGCAGAGCAAGCGGTGTTTTCCGTTTTCATGCTTTTCGTTGTCCCTCCGTCTGTTCTCGCTCCGCTCCTGCTGCGACACCAGCTCGAAACGCAAACGGCCCACGAAATCGCCCAAGCACCGCTCAGCTCGCGCCCTGATCTGGGCGCTTCGGGACTTTTGGGGCCTCCCGGGGCCCTCGCGTTCTCAGAACCAGCCCCAGGAGAGGTGCACGAGTCAATTTTTGACAGGGAGTCGTCGTCGTCGCCGTCGTCGGTCAGCATGCAGGACGGGCCTGGGGAAAAGGGTCCTGGATTTGTTTTGCGGTTTTCGGGCCCCTGGGGCCCTCCACGGACCCCGCGGCCATCGACCAACGGTTCGGGATGACGAGCTGGGCCTGGGCAGGCACACAAGGTTTGGGGCCGGTTTCTATCAATGACCCTCTTTCCTCATGGCGATCCGGTCGCCTAACGGAATCATCATGTCGAAAGACCCAACCATATGCGGGCGCGAGCACCGAAAGGCGGGTAAAACGAAGGATGGGCAGCTCCCCATGGGGCCACGAAGCGTGAGGGGCGCGCCGAAGCCTGCGCGGCGCGCCGTTGGGGCCGTCGGTGGAGCTTCCCCACAGATCTCACGAAGCGTGCGGGCCCACGAAAAGCGCCAGGGATATGCTGGAATGGGTGCGGGGCCGCCGTGCGAAACCTGCCGCTGAGGCTCCCCATGGGGCCACGGGGCGTGCGCAAGGTGCGCTGGGAAATGGTGCGGGGGCGCCACGCGGACCCTGCCACTGGGGCCTGCGGTGGAGCTCCCCTATGGGGCCACGAGGCGTGTGAAGAGTGCGCCGAACCAGGCGCGGGGCCGCCGTGCGGAGCCTGCCACTGGGGACTTGCGGTGAAGCTCCCGATGGGGCCACGAGGCGTGTGGCGCCGCCGCAGCGCGGAGGTGGCGAATGTATTTTGCATCCTGGCGATAGCACGCTGATCGGCCTCTAATTGGCAGAATTATCAGCGCCGCCCTTCCTGCAGATGGTCGAGATCACGGCGCTGCGCCGCGCGCAGGAAGTTGCCCGCCGCAAGCGCAAGTCCAAAACATCTGCAGTGGTTTGAAGGAACTCGTGGTCACCAATCAGCGGTTTCCAATACTGGGCCAAGACCCCGCCCTCTCCTGACGCGCGGTTACTCTTCAGCTACTGGGTGACGCCCACCAAGTGGTCCAGCGCGAAGTCGCCCATGCCCGCGGGGATGGGGTTCTCGGAGCGCTGGCTGACCCGAAATCTCTGCAGCCATGCGCGCCGCTGGACTTTCCCAAAATGCTCTGCCATCGCGTCGGTTTTCCTCTCGCTCGTCGCAAGTGGGCCTGCCGTGTTCCGGGTGCAAGATGCCCCTGGCTCACTGGGCTTTCGAATCGCCTCCAGGTCGCCCCAGGCGCCGCTACGAATGTCATCGTCCAGCCACTCCGTCTTGTCCCTCTTGGCGGACTGGCTGGCCAATGCTGTAGCCTCCGCTGCTCGCCCCTGTCCTGATCTGCCCGGGCTTCGGCGCTCGTTCTAGTCGAGCGCGCGGATGCTTGGCCCGCGGCCTCCTATTGGGCGAGGTTTTGTCCGGCGCGACGGGATCGCGCGCTGTGAACTTCCTGGCCGTGCCTGCCCAGCGCTCGCTGGTGGAATCGCGGTCCGCACAGGCGGCCGCTCCTTCCATGAATGCCCGAGCGGAAGGATTGGCCACCATCTTGTTTCAATGCGCCCTGTGGAAAGTGGCACACAACGTGCGGCATGTAACGAGGACATGATTTTTCCGCCCTCCGGCACCGCGCCGCATTGCTCTCCCTATCTTGGGCTCTGAACTTGGAGGAGGAGGAGGAGGAGGAGGCTATTCGCCCCCGTCGTCGCCTCTGAATCTGGAGCGGATTGTTGGCCGGGCGGGGGAGCCGGCGTTGTCTCAGCTGGCCCTCTCCCGGCGGTGCCTCTCCGAAGCCAGCCGGCGGTGCTGTGGAGGCCCTCCAGGCTTCTCCCGGGAGAGCCCAGGAAAACCCCCTTGAAGGGGCCCAAGGACACGCAAATGAATACACACAAATAAAAATACGTCCCATACTTTCCTATATTTTTTGGGTGTTCGTCTTCTCCCCCACTTCCCACATTTTCCCATATCTTCTGGGGAATCGGCGATTCATTCGTGTCTGTGCGTCTCGTTCCCTCCTGACCCCTGGCGGCATGGGGCAGGGCAGCGCACCCACCTGAGAGCGGCCGTCGCGAGCAACAAAAGTGCACGACCGCAGAAGATCACAACGAACACTCTGATGTTCCAGCCGACTTTAGCCTTGACCACCAGAAGAAAACTCAAGGTTTTCACGTGTCGAGCCCTGGGAGACACTCGCCCGACACTGTTTCGACACTCTTTTGACACTTTCCCGGGTGCTCGAAATTATTTCTGGGATGCGGTCCTTGAGTAGGATGGGAACAACCTAAACGAAAGCCCCAGACCCAAGTTAACCCAAGCTGTCTGCGGCACTTGCCGAGCCGGATCGATCTGTGATGGTCCGGGGCCCGGAACCTGGCGACAACGCCCGGTGTGAAAAAATACGCAACGCCTGGACCCCAGACCGCCAACGTCCTGATCTAAGATGCCCCGATACGCAACACGCAGCACGTAGCGTATGGATACGGAGCTCAAAACGTAGGCTGAAAGCGTAGGTCCGACGCGATACATTCGCCAAAACGTGGCCCAATATGTGGAGCCAACACGCAACGTATTGACACGGACGTCTTGAACACGGGACGTATTGCGTTTCAAGACGCGCGTACCGAGGCAACGAAGGTCCTGACTTCTTTCAGAACGTCGACCCCCAGAAGTCTCGACCCATTCCTGGGACCAGCTCTTCATCCCGAGTCGTTTTGTTGACGGCCCCGAGGGCTGGTGAGGGCCCCCAGAGGCCGAACATGGGCAGCGGACAAAGTAACATCCGTCTTGGCTCGAGGGAAGATGAAGGGGCCCCAGGGCACACGCATAAATACACACAAATAAAAATATGCCCCATATTTTCCCATATTTTCTGGGTCTCTGTCTTCCCCCCCACTTCCCCTATTTTCCCATATTTCCTGGGGAATCGACGATTAATTGTGTCTGTGTTTTTCCCCTTCTGAGTAAAATCCGTCATGGCTCGAGGGAAGAGCATGCTGCTTCGCATGAGTTTGCTGCCAACGCATGGAGGACGAATGGGATCCGTCCGTGGATCGGCAGGGCCAAAACAGCCTGGGCAGCCGTGAGGTGGACCTCAGGGTCCAACAGCCCGGGCTCGACGGGGCCCTGGGCCAGGGTCAAGTCGGGCCCGTACCCCTGCGGGCCGATTGTCGACGCAAGATGAAAAATAGTCGAACAACCCCCCCAAATGGCCAAAAATAGTCCAGAAGTCGTCCCGAGGCTACTCTTCGACTATTTTTGGATATTCCTCCTGTGGAGGGACAGGCCCGACTTGCGGCCAGGGCCACCCCTGGCAGCGCCCCAGGAGGCGGGGTCGGCGGCCGGCGTCCTGGCAGCAGTGCGTGGCGCTCGGGAACCCGGTGCGGCTGCCCAGCACCTCGCCGCAGCCCCCCGCGGATCGCAGGCAGATCTTGGTGGTCCCCAAACGTGGTGGTGAGAACACCCGGTGGTGAGTTTTGGGCGATTTGGGCAATGGTTTTCGAGCGCTGGCTGGCCCAGGAAACGCAAAACCTCGTGGCGACCGCGTGTCCCCAAACCCGGTGGTGACCCAGAATTATTTTTGGGGGGAATCGGGGTCACCACCGGGTGCCTCACCACCTGGTCTGGAGACCACCAAAGATCCAGAAGCGGTCGCCTCGAACCGGTGCAGTCGGACTTGATGGGGCAGGACACGCGAGAGGACGCAAGACCCTTCCCAGGGCCACGCTGCCATAGGAATGCAGGAGGCATGGGTCGCGAGGCACAGGGCACCAGGGTACCCTGGATTTGGCAGGGTCGACCTACTTATCTGGGCCGACTGTAGACCCGCTCGAGTCAAAGTGTGTCGGGGGCGCGCAAGCATGGATGAGCGATCCATGGATCTGGCGCGCGGTCGACCAACCCATGGATCGGGGGAGGTGCCCTCCCCAAAATGCGGCCGGTGCCGCCTCGCTCGGCGGCGGGAATCCGCGATTTCCCATGGAAGCGGGGCCCGTCGCTAATCCACGCCCCCTTAATCCATGTTTGCGATCGCCTGAGTGTACATCGGATCGGGCCGCATCGGCACGGGATCGACAGCGGATCGGATCGGCTGCGTCAGGATGCACAGCAGAGCCGGGCAATCATCGAGCCGCATCGGGTCGTCAGAGCATCGAAATCACATGAGATCGGACTGGCGGGAATCGACATCCGCCCAGATCGATTGGAACGGGATGGACCCTGAGATCTGCCGAAAGAGCGACCGGTCGATGGGATCGGACCGATCGGGCGGTCCCGGCCTCGCGTCGTGAGCAGAAGCACGGCGGGAGGGCGGGAGGTTTTCGGCTACCGTCGGCCCCTTGGGGGCCCTCGCTGGGCCCCGAGATTGTCAAACGACGCCTCAGAATAGCAGTCGGCCCTGGGGAAAGGGTCGGGACTTCCGGGGACCCCGACTGGAGCAAAGCATGAAGTCGGGCCTGTCCCTCTACAGGAGGAATATTCCGAAGTAGTCAAAACATAGTCGGGGAACTATTTTTTGAGCATGTTTTTGCCATTTTGAGGTGTTCTTTTACTATGATCATTTTTGTTCGTGGAAGGTCGGCCTGTAGGGGGACAGGCCCGACTTGAGCAAAGCACGACGGCGCATGCCTGGCGAGCACCGACTCGACCGGACCTCACCGAGGCTCCGAGGCCCGGGGCCCTCGAGGCTCGGTCCTCGGGGAGGTCGAGGACCAGGTCGACGGACCGCTCCACCGTGCCGCCGACACGAAGGACATGGGCCCTGGCACTCGCCATCGCTCGGACGTCCACTCCCTGTGTTTTTGTTTCGGTTTCGTGCGCGGCTTTTTCGGCAAGTGATCAGGGGTGCTCCTCGGTGGTCCTCGCCGAGGAAAACACGCACACGTCCGAGCGATGCCAGGGGCAGAAGCGAGCCTTGGACCCCTCGGGCTTTCCCCGGGAACCCCGGCTCTTCCTCCCGAGTCGTCCGCGAAACACCTCCGGACCCGTTTGCCTCGAGATCCCTCTCCCTCACGCCGAGGATCGGATTGGGTGCGCTGGAGGAGGGGGTCAGGAAGAGGGGGGGTAGCACACCATGGCCCGAGGCATGCACGCGGACGAGGGGGGGACCCGGGAACAGGTCGAAAAAAGAAGAGGGAGCCATGAAACCTGGGCGATGTCATGACTGCGGCCATGATATGCCCCCACTAGTAGGGAGCATCGGCAGGGGGGGGGGACTGGCTCAGGGGGCTCACATCGACCCCAAATCGGCGATACATCTCCGAGAGATTGGCGATGGGCCTACAAGAGCGAACCCGAACGCTCCTGGGCGGGTTGTGCAATCGGGCCCTTATCGGCGATGAATGGGCAATTGGGGGTCAGCACATCTCCCCCTGAGCCCGCCCCCCCTGTATTGAGCAGGGACCGACCGTCCCGGCATTCCTATAGTCCTACCACGAAATGCTCTCAGAACCCCAATGAGTTCTAAAAACAAAAACAATGTTCTTCGAACATAAACCCGATGTGTTAAAACAAGACTGTTCCAGCCAGACATGCTCTAAGAACATCTCGTGAAAACCACAAACGGTTCTTAGAACATTGTTTGGTAGGGCTACAGGCGAGCCAGGATGCTTCGCCAGTGCTTGACTGTAGCTGCCCCATGGCTTTCAGGGCATGCCTCCACCCTCCGGCAGCCGCTCGGTACACGCTCTGGGCACCTCTGGAAAAACCTCGACGAGGCGCAGCTGCTGGAAAGCTCCCCCAGGCGAGAGAACCTCCGGGAGCGATCGAACACTGCTCACCAGCCTGGAACATATCCCTATCCCTAAGCTGGGCATCGCCTCATCGCGATGCCAATCTTAGGGATTCCCTTAGTTTTTCAGGGCGCGTCCCTAAGATTGTCATCGCCTTTTGGCGTGTCCATCTTAGGGATAGGGATAGGGATAAATTCGAGGCTGGTGAACTGCCTCCCCCCCTTCCCCCTTCGACGACGAGACCACCTTCAGCCACCCCCCTTCGCAGCCCCTGGCTCATGGCGAGGATCGGAGGTCGGCCAGACCTACTCCACCGGCCACGCTGGAGCTAGATCCTGCCGTGGGGGGTTGAGCAGGGACCGACCGTCCCGGCATTCCCATAGACCTACCACAAAATGTTCTTAGAACCCCCAGGTATTCTAAGAACAAAAATATTGCTCGTAGAACATCAGCCCGATGCTTTAAAACGAGACAATCTCGGCCAGAAATGTTCTAAGAACATTTGGCGCAAACCATAATCGGTTCTTAGAACATTCTTTTGGTGGGCCAATAGGCAAGCCAGGACGCCTCGACACTGCTTGAGGATGTCCCGAACGCTGTTGGGACCAAAAACCACAAAACCCCAGCGGTGACCCAGTGTTCCAAAACCGGCGGTGACTTTTTGGGGACTCCAAATCACCACCTGATATCTCACCTCCTGGTTTGGGGTCTCCCAACTACCCCACCCGGCCACGCTGGAGCTAAATAGTGTTCCTGGGGCGTGGGCCCGATGTGTTGAACCACGACGCTCTCGGCAAGAAGCCTTCTGGAAACCCTTCGTGCAGGCCACAACCGGTTCTCAGACAATTTCTTTTGTTGGCGGCGCGCACAAGGGGGTGGAGGGAGGGGGGAGGGCTTCTGAGAAGGAGGCTGCTTCTTAGAAGGCGCCGGCCTTACATCTATAGATAAGGCCCGCGCCTTCTACGAAGCAGGGGTGCTTCTAAGAAGCCCTCCCCTCTCCCCTCCCCCCCCCTCTGCGCGTGGCTGATTTTGGTGGGCCCATAGGCAAGCCAGGGCGCCTCGACACTGCTCGCGGGGGGGGGGGGCGGCTCGTGGCGAGTGCGGCCCGGCCGCGAGCAGGAGCGGCGGCGGCCCACGGCTCGAGGCAGGCTCGGGAGCGTCCCAAGGACGGGGGGCGTCCAAGCGAGGGGGGCTCGCGAGCCATGGCCCGAGGCATGTGTGCGGCCGAGGTTCGAAGGGAGGAGGAGGAGGAGGAGGAGGAGGAGGAGGAGGAGGAGGAGGAGGAGGGGCATCTTGGAGGAGGAGGAGGAGGAGGAGGAGGAGGAGTGGGAGGAGCAGGAGGGGCATCTTGGCGAGCCCAGGGGAAAGAACAGGCGGGGCCATGGAATCTGGGAGGCATCATAGCGCCGTCCAGGATGACCCCCCACTTCAATGAGTCATCCCCCCGCCTCGTGGCCGCCCCCGATGCGAGCCGAGGGTGGCCCACTGGGCGCGTCGCGCCCCAGACGTCCGAAATGTTGACCTCCTCCCCATTGGCCGTCGAAAACCGCAGTCCCCCCTCCTCTCTGGCCTGTCCAGGGGTGCGTTCTGGCCAGAGCCCCCAGGAAGCTCCGAGGAGGCCTCGAGAGGGCCTCAAGAGGCCGCATCTTCTCTTCTCTTCCTCCTCCTCCTCCTCCTCCTCCTCCTCCTCCTCCTCCTCCTCCTCCTCGTGTCTTTTCCTCTCCTCCTCGTGTCTTTTCCTCTCCTCCTCGAGTCTTTTCCTCTCCCCGGTGTTCCCCCAAGGGGTTCCACACCGGCACGTCGGCTGGGGGCACGGATGGTCCAATAGCTTGGCCAGACTTCGGCCCAACATTTGGCCGCACTCGCGATTCCAGAGGCACGGGGCGGCGGTGATTCGCCGTGGGCGTTTTCGATAACTGTAGACGCGGGGGGGAGATGATTTCGGGTCGGCTGGCCCCTGAACTCTCTGCCTGCGACCGGCGTTCCCATCAAGAGCCGCTCCTTGAGGGTCCTACGGGGCCCAAAGGCGGCCCCAGGGCGCAGAAGATGGCGAAGATCATCCGGCGCGATTTTTTTTTTTTGTTTTTTTTTGTTCCGAGCCGCTACACACGCTTGGGGAGTTCCCGCTCCTAGGCGAGGATGTACAGCAAGTTCTTGTCGTGGACATCGGCGGATTCTGGACCACTGGCGGTGTCAAGCCTTGAGAGCATGCGCTGGGGTCGCCGCCGTGTGGACACGACACGAGCTTGCCGTATCTAGCCCTGAAATGCCTGGCAGCTCAGTGCCTGTCGGCTTCCCGCGCGGGTATGTAATACGACTCGAGAGCGGGAGCAGAGCAAGAGACACGCCTGCGAAGATCCAGTATCCTTCTCCACCTCTCAGACCTCCAGACAGTCAAAGATACTGAGCGCGAATCCGCCGACCCCTTGTGGGCCTCCATGAGTGTGAGATGGCTCCCCCCTTAATCCCACCAGGGCCCCCAAACTGTAAATTTGAGGGGTTGGGGGCTGGCCCGGCACGACCCCCAAGTGAACTCATCAGGGGGGTCCCGCCCACAGGCTCTTTTTGGGGCTTCGAATTCAAGGGGCAGGCAGATGTGGCGCAAGCCTGTAGAATGCGGAATTGTATACGAGTGGCGCGTTGTTGCTATGCCCATCGAAGTTTGAACTTGGCATTGCCTTGTGCTGCCACGCGGTAAATGCTCATTGCCCTCGTGGACATTCGCACGCTCGTCCCAGCGCTGAAACGGAGGGGGGCGCATCCGCCCCCCGTGGCGCCGGCAGCGCCCCGGGCGGGCAGAACGACACGGCAAAACTTCAGGGCAGATGAGCAAGTCAAACCACACAACGCCGTCGTTACGCGCTCTGGACCTGCACCTGGCGAAGCGAGAGGAATACGTTTGGAACCCTCGCTCCCCAAGGGCCGCTTCCAGGCCGCCCCAGGGACTCAGGGTGAGGCTGGGTTCCAGAAGGGGTCGAGAGGTCTGGTGCTCCGAGGCGAAAAACGTCGAGTTAGGTCGGGCATGTCCTCCTACAGGCGGATTTTGGACGAAAAATAAAAAACAGATGCAGAAACATAGTCAAAAAAAAATCTCAAAATCGGTCCCAGACTATTTTTGACTATTCTTGAATTTTCCATCTGTAGTAGGACAGGCCCGACTTCAACGCAGAGCTGTCGGCGGGGCTGGGCATAATCGACGTGTCAGGGTAGGAGGTCTATCAAGCTTTAAGTCGGGCCTGTCCCCCTACAGGGGGATTTTTGAGGAAGAATTGAACATGGACAAACAAATATTCACAAAAGGTCAAAAATACTCAGAACATCGTCCCCATACTATTTTTTTTGCCATTTTTGAACTTTCCTCCTGTAAAGGGACGGGCCCGACTGAACTCAACCTCCGACCCCCGCCTGCTCGGGAGGCCGCGCCCCGAACGGCCCCCCCCCCTTGGAGCAGTGATCGCCAAGACTGCGGGCGGCGTCCGCGGACCACCTCGCCGACGGGGCTCGAGAGAAACACAGTCGGCCTTGATTTGGGGGGAAAACAAACATACCTCGCTTTTGACCACCCTCGCTTCCAAAAGATACCAAAGGATGCCAAACTACGGCCTGTACTGGTCAGGCCGCTTGACGAGGAGGCGCGTGGTATGGCTTGGTTTTGCCTGGAAGCGAAACCGGGGTAGGTAATTCAAGCTCTGATGATTGGACAGGACACGCGAGAGGACACAAGACCCTTCCAAGGGTCACACCGCCGTAGGAGTGCAAGAAGGCACGTGCCGCGAGGCACAGGACACAAGGGTACCCTTGAGCTGGCAGGGTCGACCTACTACCCTGGGCCGACAGTAGTGTTTTCCGTTTTCGTTTTGCTTTCGTCCTGTCTTCGCTCCACGTCTGTGAAGGGGAACTGGGACACACAAATAAATAGACACAAATAAAAATATTCCCCATATTTGCCTATATTTTCGGGGTTTTTGTCTTCCCCCCATCTCCGATATTTTCCCATATTTTCCTGGAAGTCGACGATGAATTGT